TCTATGAAGTATGAAACATGGTTCTAGGTTCATTGGGGAACAGAACAAAGCTCTTACCCTCGTGGAGCTCACATTTTAGTAGGGGATACAGGTAATAAACAACAAATGTAATAAACAAGTCAGTTGTAGAGACAATTGGAATATGTCCAGTAAAAAGCGGAGCAGGGTAAGATGAATTTGGAGTGCCAATTGAGAGAGGGTGTTATATTTTTAAATGTATTGCCCACAGGAGGCCTTGTTAAGAAGATAAAATTCGAGCAAAGGATTGGAAGAGGTAGGGGATTAGTTACATGGCTATCTAAAGGAAGGACATTTCAGGCGTGGGGAACTGCCTGGGCAAAGATCCTGAAGTGGGCGTCTGTCTGGCATATTCAAGGGATAGTAAGGAGGCCAATATGGCAGGAGTAGAGTGAACCAGGAGGAAGGCAGTAGGAGATGAGGTTCACGGGTAATGGATGATCAAGACTTCTGGGCTACTGCAAGGGTTCTTTCTCTAAGTTAGGGTTTCTCAGTCTTGGCACTATTGACAGTTTTGATCAGATGACTCTTGGTTGTGGGGGAATGTCATGTGCATTGTAGGGTGTTTAGCAGCATCGCTATTGGCTAGCATCCAATAGATGCCAGTTCCACCCTATACCAGAGTTGTTACAACAAAAAAATATCTACAGACATTGCCAGATGTCCCCTGGGGGAAGGGAATAGGATTACCACAGGTTGAAAACCACTACTCTAAGTAAAAAGGGAAGACAATGGAGGTTCCTGAGCAGAGCAGTAACATTTTACATTTACATACAGTAATTTACACTTTTAAAAGATCACTCAGGCAGGGCGTGGTGCCTCAAGCCTGTAATTCCAGCACTTTGGGAGGCCGAGGCGGGAGAAGAAGATCACTGGAGGTCAGGAGTTCGCAACCAGCCTGGCCAACATGGTGAAATCACGACTCTACTAAAAATACAAAAGTTAGTCAAGTGTGGTGGTGCATGTCTGTAATCCCAGCTACTCGGGAGGTTGAGGCAGGAGAATCGCTTGAACTCGGGAGGTGGAGGTTGTAGTGAGCACTCCAGCCGGGCGTCAGAGTGACAGAGCGAGACTCCGTCTCAAAAAAAAAAAAAAAATCACAGCATGTCTTATTGAAAATTGCCTTGGGGAGTAGAGACCGGGAGGAACAGGAAAGAAGTAGGAAGTAGGAAAGAAGTAGGAAAACCCTTTAGGGATAATCCAAGGCTTGAACTAATCCAGAGATGTCACAGTGGACGTGGTAAGAAGTGGTTGGATTTTTGATATATCTTGAATATACAGCCCATAAGATGTGAAAGAAAGGAGTTAAGGATTACTGGAAGATTTTTGGTTTACACAACTGGAAAGATAAAGTTACCATAAACTGAGACAGGGGAGACAGTGGGAGAAACAGGTTTTCAGTGGGAAGTAAGTAGGTCAGGTTGAAGCATGTGGAGTTTGAAGTGAAACTCCAATAACCCGAGTGAGAGAATATGAAGCACTGAACTGGGCAGCGACAGTCGAGTTGGACAGGGTACTTGGTATTCAAGAGACAGCCATTGTGATTTTTAAAAGGTAGGGTCTGTCACTCAGTTAAAGGAGAATAAAAGGAGAACTGGAGGAAGACCTCATTTAATAGCTGGAGTGATGCTGGCAGTAGGACGAGGATGAATCCCTGTACAGAAAAATAGAACTTGTCAGGCTGGGCACAGTGGCTCACATCTGTAATCCCAGCACTTTGGGAGGCCGAGGCAGGTGGATCAAGAGGTCAGGAGTTCAAGACCAGCCTGGCCAAGATGGTGAAATGCGATCTCTACTAAAAATACAAAAATTAGCCGGGCGTGGTGGCAGGACCTGTACTCGGGAGGCTGAGGCAGAGAATTGCTTGAACCCAGGAGGTGGAGGTTGCAGTGAGCTGAGATAGTGCCACTGCACTCCAGCCTGGGCGACAGAGCGAGACTGTCTCAAAAAAAAAAAAAGAACCTGTCATGAGAAACAGGGAAGAGAAAGATGATGGCAGGTCACACCTCTAATCAAATTGGATGGTTTTTTTTTTTTAGGTGCAGAGGCTCACGCCTGTAATCCCAGCACTTTAGGAGGCCGAGGAGGGTGGATCACTTGATGGCGGGAGTCCCAGACCAGCCTGGCCAACATAGCAAAACCCCATCTCCACTAAAAATACAAAAATTAGCCGTGCATGGTGGTGCAAGCCTATAAGCCCATCTACTCGGGAGGCTGAGGCAGGAGAATCACTTGAACCCAGGAGGCGGAGGTTGCAGTGAGCCAAGATTGCGCCACTGTACTCCAGGCTAGGTGACAGGGCAAAACTCCATCTCAAAAAAAAGAAAAAGAAGAAGAACGAGATGGGGTCTCTGTCACCCACGCTGGAGTACAGTGGCATGATCTTGGCTCACTGTACCCTCCGCCTCCCACGTTCAAGTGATCCTCCCACCTTAGCCTCCCAAGTAGCTGGGACCACAGGCGTACCACCACGTCCAGCTAATTTTTGTATTTTTGGTAGAGACAAAGTTTCACCATGTTGTCCAGGCTGGTCTCGAACTCCTGGCCTCAAACGATCCACCCACCTCAGCTTCCCGAAGTGCTGGGATTACAAGCGTACAGGCGTGAGCCATGGCGCTCAGCCCGCTAATCATATTGGATTTAAGGTGTCAATGGGACAGCTGAGAGGAAAGGTCTAGGAGAGAGTTGCCAACAGAGCTCTGGTGCTCAGGAGCGGTCAGGAAGCTACTGATAGAAAGAGAATCCCCTACTCCCAGCAGTTACAGGTGTATCAAGGGAGACTCACAAAAAGGAGCCATGAAGGATGCTGAGACTGAGAACGAACAGTCAAAGGCAATCAAGGAAGGAACAGAGCTTGGAAGGTCCAGGTGAGGAGGTTCCAGGAAAATCCAAGTAAACAGAAATTCAATTTAGCTAATACTAGATTGCAATACCTATAACAACACATGAGGTTATTTTTGTTCAGGCCTAAGGTCTATCCTCTCTGTTAAATTAAAAGTTATAGTTTATTAAGAGTTGGTTATTTAAACTTACTCACTGCATTCATAAAACCCAAGTTTGTGAAACCAAAAATAATGTTTAACCATCAAACACAGCACGTAACAATCAACTAATACCATACATTACTGTATTTCATGGAGAATCTGTCCATACTTAAGTTTGTCCATAAAGATGGGTCCCTGGGCTCGATGGACTACAGGGGAGCTTTCTGTGTTATATGCTCTTTGCCATCACTGAAGATTTATGTATATCCTCCGATTTTGCTAACCTGCCGCTTAGCTGTTTTCCAGACTTAGAAATGTGTAGAAACAAAGATTCTGAAAGCCCTCAATGAATCATTCATAAATCTTGTATTTATTAAACGACAAGTAGCTTGAACTCTGCCTGATTAAGCTATTCATATGTAGGCAAAACAGAAAAAAAAAGAATGTACTCTGACTAAAGGTTACAATTACATTGGAAAAAGTTCCTTCATTCTCAACAGATTGACCCTTCCTTTGATCACCTCCTGATTTCAAAAGGAAACAAGCCTTTTTGCAATTCCCAAATTAGAGATTATGTTGCAATATCTTGACTGAGAAAGCTCAGCTTCCCCCTCTCACCCACTTCTTCCCTGGGAGCATGATCCCAATGTGTGGTAGCCAAAGGTTTCAAAATATGTTTCTAATAATTGCCCAGTACCACCAATGAGATGAAATGCATTTTCCCCTTTCCGTCAAATTTCCCAAATATTCATATTCATTCATTCACTCACAATTCACTCAACCTTTACTGCGTTCCAATTGTGAGTGGTTGCAGCTTTTTGCCTGGCTCCAGGGAGAAGAGGGCAGGTGTGTACAGGCACAGAGAACGGTGCCCTTGCTGCTTTTGGCATTTCAGTGAATTCCAACCCTGGTGCTGAGGTTAAAAAAAAAAATACCTGAGTAAAATATATTCCTAGAAAGCTTTATGGTTTTCCACTTCCAACATACCCAAGAAGAGTGGCCACTCCTGAGGGATGTGCAGGGACAATTCAAGGGTATGCTCTGGGGCAGCTTCTCTCACCACAGAAATAGGGCTACTTGTCTCCATACTCCAGCAAGACTTTTAAACACCAGAGTGATGGCCAGATTATCAGTAAAGGAAGAATGGGAAGCAGAAAGCAATGCGGTTTTCAGTGGTTAAGAGAGAACAAGTTCTTTTCAAACTAAGGTGTCCATATCAACTCCCCTTATCTCTCAAACTCTCCCAGTGAAAATACACCGGAGGGAAGGGCACTGACACCAATATTAACCAATTGCCACAAGCCTCAGGGCAGAAGCATTTAACATTGAATGCCACAAGAATCACGAAAACCAACACGGTTTGTATTTGGAGGTTCCTCTCCTTCAGCTTTAGGGCTGAGCACAAAACAAAAAGGCCAGAAGGAACTGCAGAGTGAAGAAGACTCAGATTTGCCCGCATGGCACAATTGTGATGCTGATCCCCTATCTTGGGGGTGGGTGGCTGTGTCTCTCCACAGCCCCTAGCATAGTGGGCGGTGCGGATACAATGCAGATCTGAGGGAGTCCCAGTTTACTGCGCCTCGGTTTCTGGAACCGCAACCTCAGATTTGTTGCCCTTACCCCCGTCTCTAGCTATTCACAGCAGGCTGGACTTTCTGGAGTTATTTGGATTCAACCAACCTTGGCAACCCTACCTACCAAGGAACTGCCCTCGCCCACTCCCTTTTCTCTGGAACAGCTATTATCGCGTCCTGTGCAAAGAACCTTAAAGGATGATAGCCGTTTGGTAACTCCCATAGTGGAGGAAGAGGGCTGAGGTGGGGCCCCACTCAGTACTCCGGGGCGCCCTGCCGGGACCCAGACAATACTCGCAGGATCAACAGCTCTCCTGGCTCCGGAACCCGGTGCGCCGGGGCGGGGAGTGGTGGGAAGAATCTCGGCCCTGTCTGGATCGGCCTGCTCCTTGTCGCCCCACTCCTCTCGGCCACCCGTCCTTACCTGAGCGTCTCTCCAGATCACGAACCTAGCATCCGCAGCCTGCACGCCAGCCCATCAGAGCTACGCCCCCTCATGCCCTGTTACGCCCCACATACCAGGGCCGCGCCCCTCAACCGAGGCCACGCCCCCACCTGGCAGATCCACGCCCCACTACATCCGCACGTACCGCCCTGGTCACGCCCGCCCAAACCGTGCCAGTCTCTGCCGTCCACCCTGGCCGCACCCCTTTAGCTACGGCCACGCCCCTCTCCCTCCTGACCACGCCTCTACGCTCCGCCTGGGCTCGTCCCTCTAGCCTGGGCCACGCCTCTGAGCCCCGCTCTGGCCCCGCCCCCGAATCCCCCGCCGGATCAATCCTCCCTCCTCCTGCTCTCCGCTGGCCGCATTTGTGGATTGAAACTAGACCTGGGGCTTCAGAGCCTTATCTAAAAAGTGACTTTCCCTCGGTTCCTCCCATCTCCAAACACCACGACTTTATGTGCTGGGAACAGGTGACTCAGTAGGGAAACAAACAATGAACGTGTCCTTTCCCGCTAGTTTTCATGTCTAATTTACCCGAGTTTCTTTAAGCCAGTTTTTATATCCTCTGAACTCGAAGTGTGGACCCGTGTTCCTTCCAGCCCAATTTTCATATCCTCTAAAGCAGAACCGTGGATGTGTTCCTTCTAGCCTCTTAGCCGACCTTAAATGCTAGGCAGATGAGTGGAAAAAACAGAATTCCTCTACTTCCTGATGTCTCCTCCAGATGGCCTTTCCTAGGCACCCAGTGCCCCGTTGCTGCTGAGGGCCCGTGAAGACATCACCCCCACTTTGTGCTTTGAGATTACTCTGCTATCCTTCCCTCCATTTACAACTCTGGGTCCACGTGAAAAATGTGAAGAAGCTATAACCAGCTTTCTTCCCCTGTGTACATACATCTCTGACTCATTCATGCAAATTTCATTTATCGAGTACAAGCTCCCCTGACAAATAAGACAAACCTCAAGGAGCTTACAGTCTGAAGTTGCCCCAACTTGGGTTTGGATGAGAAAATTGGGGAAGATGTGGCAAAAGGTTAATAGGTGGAAAAGGAGTTGGTAATCTCAGGTCTTCTTGACCCCATTAGTAGGAACATTTTGGGGTAGTAAACATAGGAAGTCACTTTTATAGTATTTAGTACATTTCTTTACACAGTAAATTATCAATAAATCTTAACTGAATATCTACTCTTCCACATGTATAGAAAGATATAATTTGCCCCCTTTGTAGAAGTAAAATTTGCTACTTATATTGCTTCATATGCCAACAATAAAGATTTTATAATCACACAGTTCTTTTTTCTTCTCTTCCCACCCTCCCTTGCATTTCTGGCTTGAAGACAGTGAGAATATTCAAAATGTTGGGCTAGAAAGAACACAGATAAAAGAATAACTTTCAACAGAACACTTTCATTGTGCTCACCCTGACCCTGAGAACTCTGTCTCATTTATAAAATGTTTCAACTGTCAGTCATTTTTTGCCTGAAAAATGAATTCACAGAAATTGGTCCAAATACAGCCTATATAAATTACTGAGTTGATCTTTATACAAGTAGTTCTACCTCACCTTCTTCCACAAATGATTTGAGCCAGCCTACTAAAATATAGACATTACCAGATTTAAAAAATAGGGGAAGGAACCAAGGAAAGGAGAGCTTAATGGAAGGAGAATGATATGGCCAATGATAAGATTAACATTTAAATTTGCACTCCATCAGATCCAGAACAGTTGTCAGAAGTAGGCCAGAAATTTCACCCTAACTAAGCTGTTGAATAACCATAGAAAAGAGGAAATAACAATCATTTTGAGGTTTTTACTGTTCATAAGATAAAAACTGGTTTTCTTTTTTTTTTTTTTGAGACACAGTTTCGCACTTGTTGCCCAGGCTGGAGTGTAATGGTGCAATCTCAGTTCACTGCAACCTCTGGCCCTCGGGTTCAAGCGATTCTCCTGCCTCAGCCTCCCGAGTAGCTGGAATTACAGGCATGCACCACCACGCCCGGCTAATTTTGTATTTTTAGTAGAGACGGGGTTTCTCCATGTTGGTCACGCTGGTCTCGAACTCCCGACCGACCTCAGGTGATCCACCCGCCTCGGCCTCCCAAAGTGCTGAGATTACCTAACTCCTGGGCTCATGCAATCCTCCCACCTCAGCCTCCCAAAGTACTGGGATTACAGGTGTGATCTACTGTGCCTGGCGGTGTGAGCCACCGCGCCCAGCCTTTTTTTCTTTTTTTTTAAACGGAGTTTCACTCTTGTCGCCCAGGCTGGAGTGCAATGGCGCGATCTCAGCTCACTGCAACCTCTGCCTCCAGGGTTCAAGCAATTCTCCTGCCTCAGCCTCCCGTGTAGCTGGAATTACAGGCGCCCACCACCATGCCCAGCTAATTTTTGCATTTTAATAGACACGGGGTTTCACCACGTTGGCCAGGCTAGTCTCGAACTCCTGGCCTCAGGTGATCCACCTGCCTCGGCCTCCCAAAGTGCTGGGATTACAGGCGTGAGCCACCGTGCCCGGCTGTTTTGTTTTTATAGAAGTAGTTTTTCTTGAATTTTAGTCCTGAGAGAAATACAGTTTCCTCATAAAGATGATGTAGTGAGCCTAGTGGGAACTATGTGTCATAAGGAGTGACACCCAAATCCCATTAATGGAAACTGTTGGCACAATCACAAAGCACAGTGCATTAAATCAATTCTATGAATTGGCCAGGCACAGTAGATCACACCTGTAATCCCAGTACTTTGGGAGGCTGAGGTGGGAGGATTGCATAAGCCCAGGAGTTAGAGACTAGCCTGGACAACATGGTGAAACCCCATCTCTACAAAATTAGCTGAGTGTGGTAGTGTACGCCTGTAGTCCCAGCTACTCGGGAGGCTGAAGTGAGAGAATCACCTGAGCCTAGGGAGGCTGAGGCTGCAATGAGCCATGATCACACCACTGCACTACAGCCTGGGCAACAGACTGAGATCCTGTTTCAAAAAAAATAATAATTCCATGAACCATCAACATATTTCTGTTCACTTGAATACACAAGCCCTCAATGGTCTGGCTTAATCCAGGGTAGCATTTAGATCATCTTTCCTCAGGATGACAAATAGGTTTCAACTCACATGTTAACTCTGAACTATTTGTAGTAGCTGCCTGAGTAACTATGTTGAGAAGTTTGGGGGCTTTGTCCAGGCTCAGAAAGAAAAAGTTCAGTACTCAGTTAACAATGCTGTGGGTGTAGGATAGGTAAGTGGCTGCATGCAATAACCTACCTGGTACCTCTGCTTTGTAGAAATAGAGGTCTTGCATGTAGAACTTTTGTGCAGCCGCTCAAAATCAACAATTCTCATGGCCGGGTACAGTGGCTCACACCTGTAATCCCAGCACTTTGGGAGGCTGAGGCGGGTGGATCACCTGAGGTCGGGAGTTTCAGACCAGCCTGACCAACCTGGAGAAACCCCATCTCTACGAAAAATAGAAGATTAGCCAGGCATGGTGGCACATGCCTGTAATCCCAGCTACTCGGGAGACTGAGGCAGGAGAATCGCTTGAACCCGGGAGGCAGAGGTTGCAGTGAGCTGAGATTGTGCCATTGCATTCCAGCCTGGGCAACAAGAGCGAAACTCTGTCTCAAAAAAAAAAAAAAAAAAATTCTCGCCACAGGGTTTTTGATAAATGTCAGAGAGTAGAGAGTTCCAGGTCCCTTTCTCACTCTGATCCACCTATACTGGTCTTCCCATGTTCATTCCTGTCTCTGAACATTTTCTTTTGTTGTTCCCATTGTTTGGACCACTCTTTACTCAGATCTTTACATGGCTGCAGTTTTCTCATTATTCAGTACTTAGCTAAAATGTCATCTCTTTAGATATGTTTTTCCTGACAACCATATCTGAAGTTGTATCCAGAGCCTCTCAATCTGCACTGTGCCCAGAGATCACCCAAAGATCATGTTACAATGCAGACTCTGACGCAGTGGTTCTGCGATGTGACTTGAGATTCTAGATTTCAAGCACGCTGCCAGGAGATGCAATCCAGAGGTTCTATAAGACACTCTGAGTCTGGGCACGGTGGCTCACGCCTGTAATCCCAGCACTTTGGGAGACCGAGGAGGGCAGATCACCTGAGGTCAGGAGTTCGAGACTGGCCTGGCCAACATGGCGAAACACCATCTCTACTAAAAATACAAAAATTAGCTGGGCGTGGTGGTGGGCGCCTGTAATCCAAGCTACTCAGGAAGATGAGGCAGGAGAATCACTTGAACCCAGGAGGCGGAGGTGGCAGTGAGCCGAGATCATGCCATTGCACTCCAGCCTGGGCGACAGAGCGAGACTTCGTCTCAAAAAAAAAAAAAAAGACACTTTGAGTAACAGCTTCACCTCTCCATCTCTATTACCTATTTTATTTTCTTCATAGTGTTTCCCAGTATTCGAAATTATTTGATTATTTGTTGGTTGGTTGGTTGTTTACTATAATGTAAATTCCCTAAGAGCAGGGACTCTGACCAATTTGTCCAACTTTGTACTCCTGGCAGTTAACACAGTACCTGGGGCATCAGCAAATGCCCTTTAAATATTGCTAAAGGAATGATTTTATGATTCATTAATTCCTTTATCTGTTCAGTGACTGCTTAGTTATATGCCAGGAATTAACTATAAATGATAGAAGGTAGTGCTACTTAAGTGCTAGCCTATGAACTGCTAGGTACTCTGGTTCAAGCTGAGATAAGCTTGAACTCGAATGTAAATCTGATATGTCATTAAGCACGGTGGTTATTTAGGATGCCATGTTTTTTCTTTTTTCCTTTTGTTTTGTTTTTTTTTTTGAGACAGAGTTTCACTCTTGTCGCCCAGGCTGGTATGCAATGGCTGATCTCGGTTCACTGCAACCTCCACCTCCCAGGTTCAAGTGATTCTCCTGCCTCAGCCTCCTGAGTAGCTGGGATTACAGGCATGCAACACCATGCCCAGCTAATTTTTTGTATTTTTAGTAGAGATGGGGTTTCACCTTGTTGGCCAGGCTGGTCTTGAACACCTGACCTCAGGTGATCCGCCTGCCGGGGCCTCCCAAAGTGC